CAGGCCAGCCGGCGCGGGCGGGTGAGGGGGGCCGCGGGACGTCAGGGCCTCACAGGCCCTGGAGCCAGGAACTTCCCCGGGCTGAGTCACCTCGTTTGGGGCGCCATTCCAAGGCAGCCAGACAGAGCCTCCTTGGCCGACAGCCCTTCCCGGGCTCCCCCCACCCCCCCGTTGGTGCAGGGGCGCCGTCCGGTGCTGGATGGCCTGTCCCGAGGTCACCGCTTCTGAGGGCTGGCCGGGGCCCGCCTGTCCTGTGGGGCGCTGCGATGCGGCCAGGAGCCAGGAGGTGGGTGCTCCCGTGGACACCCAGCCTAGGGCCGCGCCCTGGGCCTGCCCCCACCACGCTGGTTCAGGCCCAGGCGCTCTGGGGCCCCGTGGGCGCGGCCTGCAGCCCCAGGCCTGTTCCTGGCCAGGGCCCCTGCCCCTCGAGGGACTTGGGGAGCCCAAGGAGCGGCGCCTGCAGATGCGGAAGCCGAAGCCGCAAGTGAGCAGCCTCGTCCCCAGCGCCCCTCCAGCGGTGGCCCCTGTGGGGGGCCTGCTTGGGCCTGCTTGCCGCTTCCTGCCTGTTCTCCGTCCTGGAGGGGGGCTGGGCCTCTCCGGGGACACCAGCCTCCCTGGGGTCCTGCGTAGGCCTCTGCCGCCGGCCGCTGGCCTGAGCGGCCCTCAGCGCCTCCCTCCTCCCGCCTGCAGAGCGCCCCTCCTCCCCCGCCATGAGCCTGGACGTGCACTGCGAGCAGCTGAGCGCCACGCGCTGGGCCGAGCTGCTCCCACAGATCCGGCTGCACCCCGTGGTCAGGTAGCGGGGCGGGCGGGGTGGGCTCTCCGGCGTCCCTCCTCTTGCTCCTGGCTCCTGCTGTGGCCTCCCGGCTGCGGGGGTTCCTGCCCTCCCCAGCCCTGGCACAGCCCCCCCAACCGGCCAGGTTGACGAGCCCCGGGGGGGGGGGTGCTGCCGCAGCCTCCCCGTCCTTTTCTGGTCCTGGGTCCTGCGGCCCCACTGCCCTGACTGGCCGGCCCTCAGGCGGCCTGGGCCAGCCACGCACCGGGCGGATGAGGGGCGCCCCGGGGCCTGGCTGGGGGCTCCCCCCGCCGGCCACCTCTGAGCTCGCCGGGGACTGCAGCAGCCAGCCGCTGTCCGGCTGGGCACCCTCGGCGCCCACATCCTGGCAGGGGTGTGGCCGCCCTGCCCCGTGGCCAGGTTGACCTGAGGGTACCCCGGGCTTCCACAACCCATTCCGCAACCCGGGGGCTTTTCTGCGGGGGGTGGCGCTGCGAGGCGTGTGGCCCGCGTGCCCAGCCGCCGGCAGCTCAGCCCCCCCTTGCCCCTGGCGTCCCGGGCCTCAGGCTGGAGGACTGCGGCCTCACGGAGGCCCAGTGCCAGGACCTCAGCTCTGCCCTCCAGGCCAACCCCTCCCTGACCGAGCTCAGCCTGCGCGACAATGAGCTGGGGGACGCCGGCCTGCGCCTGGTGCTGCCGGCTCTGCAGAGGCCCACCTGCGGGGTCCAGAAGCTCAGGTGAGTCTGAGGGGCGCCCG